GGTTCATGGGTCCTGGTACTGGAGTGAGTCTAGGTGGTCTTGCTGGGTGAGTCGTTGGATGCGGTGGCGGTGGCGGCATCGTGCTGCCGTCTGTACCTGCTTACCTACCTAGGTACTGGTTGTACCTACATGCTCACTGCTGATGCTAGGTGGTGGTGGTGGTGCTGCTGCTGCGACACTGACACAGCGGTAGGTGGGTGGGTGTGAGGTCTGCTTGCCTGCCTACCTAGGTAGGCATGTAGGTACGCCGCAGCTGACTGCTAGGTAGGTACCTAGGTACACTTGCTCCCACCTACGTGCCTGCCTGACTGCCTGTCTGCTTGAGCTAGGTATCGTCCCTCTCGTTCAGTCCCTCCCTCTCTCTGGTCTAGCATTATTTTCGACTTCCACATTACCACAACTTACGGCCACTCACCCCACTAACTCACTCACTCACTCGCTCATTCGTGCCCCGCAGGCATGGCGAGGACGGGGAACGGAGCGTTCATTTGTTGTCGGAGCCACGACTCGTGGGCTGTGCACTGAGGCAAAGCATGAAGAGGTTAATTGGCAGAGCGCGAGGTGGCGTCTGAGGCTTGGTTCTCTTAGCCTGCGACGCGTTCGTACGAAGTTCATGCGGAAGTGTGCTACTGAGGTTGTTCTCCTCCCGTCTTCCAGCCCCCCTCTGACATGCTATCCGATCACTGCCCTCGCTCTCGAACTCCAGTATTCCTGTGCCGCTACTACGAACTTCTCAATGCCATATGGAATTATTTCATTGTTCGAGTTACGATAGACCGCCCTCCAACTCCCTGATAGCGACTTGTTTGAAAGAAATGCTAAATTCCAAACGCATCCGAGTCTCTGTCTTTATGATATTGTATCTTTTCGGCTGTTTAGAAAGTAGTTGTATGATATCTACTCCTAGGAGTACTGCGGCAAAGCATCTGCTTAGGTTAGTGTTTACCGTCTAAGTAGCCAAGCACATTTCCCCTTTCCTCGGTCCTGGTGCTACGTAGTTATCTCTACCAGCTGATCTCTCTCAAAGCTACTCGTCTAATAGTCCCACGATAGGGGCGACCGTGAGAAAGAGTACAAGCTTATACCTAACGCTTAGTGCTTAGTTTCCCGCATTTGCGCTTCAGTTGCGGCTAATGTCATGCCTATGTTTATGCTTAATCCCATTATGCTTGTCTTCACGTCTAAGCTTATGGCTGTGCTGTGGTCACGGCCGCCCAGGCAAGCACGCGTGCTTAACCCCACGCTTACGCTTACAGTACGTTTAAGCAAGCCTGCCTGTACGCACTCTCACTCACTCACTTGACCTCCCACCCCACCCCATCCACAAACAAACCTACAGGCAAACACCAACAAACACCAACAAACAAACAACAGCACCCAGCACACGCACCCAACAGCAAGTACCGCACCTCCACGTCTCTGCATACGTATACACGCATCTATACGCATCTATACGCATCTACAGACAAGCCCACAAACGCAAACGTAAGCGCAGCCGCACACGCATCTCGCCCAAGAAACCAGAAATCAAACCAAAAGACACCCATCCATCCATCCATCCATCCGTAAAGAAACGCCTCCTCCGCTTGGCCCATCCCAAGCTGACCTGACCTGACCTGACCGACCTGGTCCGGATCCCAATCCTTGCCGTGCCGTGGTGTAGTGTTCCGAACTAAACAAACCCCTTTGCGCCGTTTGTGTGTGTGTGTGTAAGCAAGAGAAGAAGGATGAGGGGGATGAGGGGGACGAGGGAGATGTAGGAGATGCTGGGAAATGCTGGGAAGGGGGAAAGTGACGTAAAGCAATGAGGAAGATACGCAAGGAGTGCGTGGATGAGGGAGATCAGTGGGAGTGGTGCAGGGAGGGACGACACCAGCGCAAGCCTCGTCGCAGACCAGGCTCGCTGCCTTTCCTTCTCACCCCCCCTCTCTGCCGACAGCCACCACCACCACCTAGTCGCCACTATGCGCCCTCGCGCGGCCATACGCGCCATACCCCCACTCGCGACTATGGCGCTGCTCGGTCGACATGCCGCGCGGCGTCATGGGCCGCCTGCTCTCAACAGGGCTCCAGTCGCTGCCGCCGCTCCCGCCATTCACGCCGCCGGCGCTGCGCACCATCAACGGCGGCGGTCTTAGCGGCGGCAGCGGCATCCCCGCCTCCACGATCCCGTCCTCCTCCTCCTTGATGCCGCGCAGCATGGCGCCACCGCCACTACCACCACCACCAGCAGCATTCCCATTCCCATTTCCGCTACCCGCACCCACCAACCCCAGCCCCAGCCCCGGACTCACGCCCGCGACAACCCCCTCATCCACCGCCGTCACCAACCGCACACTACTGCCCTTCGCGCGCAAAGACGACCTCGCGGCATCCTCTCTGCGCCCGCGCGCGGCGTCCTCGCGCCGGCGCTCCAGCTCCCCCACCAGCTCCTCTAGATACAGCTTTGCGGCGTGGGTGCGGGCGTACGCGAGCGGCGTCCACGCGAACGCGTTTTGCGCGGCGGGCGACGCGCCCGCGAGCAGCAGCGCGCGCGCCGCTTTCAGCTCCCCCGCCGCCGCGGCGTGGTGCAGCGCTGTGTCGCCGTTGGTGTCGCGTGCGTGTGGACTGCATGGGTAGGAGGCGCCGGTTAGGAGCGGGATCAGGTTGTGCGTGCCGTTTTGGGCGGAGGCCATGAGCTGTGCGGGGGGTGAGTTAGCCTGGTTTGCGTGTTTGCGTGCTGCGTGGTGTATGTGTGGCAGTGAAGGTGGTGGCGGTGCTTGCCGGGATATGATTTGCGACGTGTGAAGTGTGTGTATTTAAAGTGAGGCGGCAGTGTGGGGTGGAGTGGGTAGGTTACGTACGGCGTCCATGCCGCGGAGGTTGACGTAGGGCACGGCGCGGGGGAAGCGCGCGATCAGCAGCATGCCCACGTCGACGCGGCCGGCTTTGGCGGCCATGATGAGCGGCGTGTCATGGTCGGTGTTGCGCGAAATGCCCTCGGACTCGTGGCCGGCGTCGACGAGGAAGGCCTGGGCCGAGTTAGTGACAAGTGAGAAAGACGATGTTGTGACTAGGTATTTGCACGTACGACAATGTCGAGGAAGCCAGCACGGGCTGCCAGGTGCAACGACGTGTTGCTCTGGTCGTCAAAGTCCGGGTTGCGCAGGACGTCGGGGTTGTTGCGGACGATGCGCTGCACCAGCAACAGGTCATTCAGACGAACGGCGCGGCGCAGGCGGACTGAGACATCGATCATGACGGGCGGGCATGGCAGAGAGAGAGAGAGAGAGAGAGAGAGAGAGAGAGAGATAGATAAGAGAGAGCGAGAGAGAGTCTGAGACGGCGCCCGTATTGGGCTCGCCGGGCGTCTCGTTCCATGCTCGCGCGCTTGTCTATCGTCATCAATCGTTGCCGCGGCATCGGCCCCTGCACAACGATCTGCAACACCAACACCAACACTTGACACACTCAAGCTTCACAAACTAACATCATCTATACCTATCTCTCTGCACTCCTCCCTCGGAATTACCCTCCCCATCCAGCAAAGCCCAAATCCTCCGCTTGCCTTACAACCCCTCAAAGTCACCCGCAGCATCATCCTCATCAATATCCCCGTCCTGAATCTCCTTGGCAAGCTCACGCTCGCGCTCCCTCGCCTCCTGCGCATTCTTCAGCTCCAGGCGGTGCTGGTTCATTGGGTAGCTCATCGCCCGCACGCACTCGTCGTGCAGCGTCAAGCAAGCCGCAATGCGGTCGTGGAAGGCCTCGGCCGGCTCGCGCGTCGCGTACACGTCGCCCGGTCGCTTCGTCGCCATGAAGCCCTTCTCGTGGTTGATCGAGGCCTCGATGACGCCGTCGCGGATCGCCTTGGCCACAATGTACTCGGCCGACTCCTCCGACTCGAGTCCTAGGCGGATGCAGATGTCGCGCAGCGAGATGCGGCTGTACGACAGCGACAGCATGCGGATGCCCGTCCGGATCACGTTTTGCCGCAGCCGCAGGATCAACGTGTAGGTCCCCTCGCGCTGGAACACGCCCGAGTGCGCCTGCACCACCTTCAGGAAGCCCTGCAGGTCGCCAGCGCGCACCGCTTGCACAAGCCGGAAGTACGGCTCCAGCGCCCGCTCCAGCTTCGGCTGGCTGAAGATGGCGCGGTCCGGAATGTCACCCATCAGCAGCTCGACAATGACAAGGAGCTTCATCGAAGCTTGGTAGAAGCCCGCCGCGACGCCGCTCGTGGGCGACTTGCGCGTCGCGCTAGTGAGGTGCTCGTGCGCCTCAGTGTAGTTGAGCTGGATGGCGCGAATGCGGCCGAGGTAGTACAGGTACCGCGCGACCTGGTTGTTGGGCGCCGTCTGCGGGAATTGGGTCTGCGCAACGAGGAGGTCGGCCTGCGTGATGTCGGCGGTGGAGACGTAGTTCCGGAGGAGGAGCACCATGACAGCAGCCTGGGTATCTTGGTCCTTGCGGAGGACGGCGCTGCGGAGGGCACCAAGCAGCTGCCTGCGGATGCCAATAACAGGGGACTGGCGCGATGGGGGCTTGGGATCCAGGTTCTCGTGGAACAGAGCCATGTAGAAGTAGGCCTTGGCGGCGAGTGGGTCGAGAGTGCGGCGGTTAAGCTCGCGGATGTGCTCGACCAGCCAAGATGACCATTCCGCGCCCTTGGAGAATTCCTGCTTGTCGTAGAGCATCACCTGTAATGCATATGTCAGCACAGCCGCCACGCACCGCACTCGAAGAGGGATCTACCTGGGCGAGAATGGCAAGGTACACGTCGACCTCTGGCACAACCTCCTTCTTGCTGTCCGCCGACGTCTTGCTCGAGGACGCCGAGCCGCCAACCACACCGATGATCTTCTTGCCCATCTCATTGCTTGCGGGGTAGTAGGAAAGGATGGCGTCGCCAAGGACCTGGGGGTCGAGGCGCTTCCGCAGCGAGGATATCGAACGCAGAGCGCGGAGTGTGAAACGAGAATCGAACTGAGCGACGGCTCTCTCGAGGAGGGTGAAGTTACTCGAAATGTCTGATCCGCTGAATTAGCAATTTGACCATGACGGCGCATCCCGACGGCGGGCATCCGAGCTCTGGGTCAGCTCTGGGGGACCAACGCCACGGCAGTCTGATGTGGCATCCATCATCACGCGGTGGCCGTCCGGACGTCCCAGCAGTGCCGCATTCCGGCAGCAGAATCATTCCGTACCTGCAACAGTCTTCTCCTTGACATCTACAGAGGCGGGCTGCCCAGTAGAGACGACGCCTTCCATGCTGTCCGCCATGTTGCTTTGCGGCAAGGTGGAATCAAACGCGGCAGCGGGGGCGAAAGAACAAGATCAGAACCTGGCAGGCGGCGCAACGGGACAGTGGCAGCGAGAGTTGGGATAGGGGATGTGGTGGTGAGGGATGGTGGGTGATGGAAGCTTGAGGTAGAGCTTCAGACAGCAACGGAGTATGATGCACCTATTCGCCGACATGGTCCAAGCGCCACTGTTGATGTTGGTTGCGACTGCGACTGCGACCATCGATCCCATTGCTTTCTCCAGCTACCCCTCCACCATGTCTCTCCTCGACGCCCACCTCGAGCAAATCGGCCTCTGTGCCGCCTCGATCGCTGAGCTGCCGTATGGTCTTCCCTTCCTTCTGACACATACATTCCCACTAACATGGCATCGCAGCTTTCCCCCACCAAAGATATTCACCAATGCCCTGCTGCATCCTCACGACATCACGGCTCTGATCCGCGACACCGAGTCGCACGAGCGTGCCCTCTTCTCTGTCCCTCCTCCGCAGCCCCAGCCCAAACCCCAGGATCCGCTCACCAGCTCCAACCGGCGCAACACCGTCTTCAACCCCAATGGCAGTAGCAACGCTGTAGGTGGCGGCGGCGCGAATGCCATGCGCGCACCCAGACGAAACACGGCAGTCGCTGCTGTGCTCGGCACCGAGCTTGTCGAGCGCATCAGGCAGGGTGGAGGTGGAGGCGCCGGCAGCGGCTTGGGCTATCGTTCCTATGGCGGCAGGGACAAGGGTGAAATCGACGTCGAGACTCTTCTCGAGGGCGCAGAAAAGCTATGTGGCGTATAGTAAGTCGACGTCTGCCTTAGCATATGCGTCTTTTGCTGACCGTCATCAGTCCTATCCCCGGAGTCGCTGAGCGCATCGCTTCGCTGCGCCAAAGACACGTTCAACTTGCCTCATCCGTCGAGCACTACGAGCTCCGCGTGGCCGAGCAAACGGCTCAGCTAAGTCGTATGAACAGGCCGCGTGACTTTGCTGACGATGATGAGCCTGAAGTTGCACCTGAGCCGCAGGTAGAGGAAGATTTGCTCACGGTCGAGGATTTGCGGAGAGAAGAGGAAGAGATCAGAGACCTCGAGCGGAAGAAGCGTGGTTTGGAAGACCGTGTCAACTCAATGGGTAGAGACATCTCGGGCGTATTAAGATGAGTTTTCCGCGCCTGTACGTGCGCAGCTCAGTACAAGAAACCTCTTGGGATGACGAGATGAACTGCTGCCTATATTGCCAATTCATTGGAGGGAGGAGTCCAAAGACAGACCGATGCCGCGGTAGAGCTAACCAGCTCCTGCACGCAACAGGTCATCCAAGGGTAAAGATTAAAGAGATGGCTGGAGAAAGAGCAGATCACAGGGTTTTGTGTTCCAGGGCTGATCCGCGGATGGATGGGGCAGTATCAGTGAAGTGGAATCCCGACGCGCTGAGGCAGAGAGACTTTGCTCCAATACCCGCAGGCCCATCTCCATGGAGAAAGCAGTCTACGCTTGAATGCCACACGAGCACTTGACACCGCGCCAAAGCGGCTACTCATACGCTCGTACAAGCTTTTGGAGCAACATGGAAGCAGGGAGCAGGACGCGCCGCACCGCCTGGAAGGGGGGCAGTTCGAAGCGAAAGACTAAAGCCATTATAGGTACCTCAAAGCTGGGTATCGCTTTTCCCAATAGCTTGTACAGTACATGGAGCTCTATCTATTCATGTGTAGAAACTCTGTAAACCAATCAGCAGCCATCTCTCCAACAAAGCTCAATTTCAACGCCGTCCTAGTAGACTCTTTCATTCATAACCTATAGATGCTACACCTACTAAGCTATCTTAACCCTGCCCTCTTTCACCTAACCAAGTCTTCAGCTACACATTACCAGCAGTGTAGCTATCTTCGAAGGACGTGCCATCCGCATAGAGATGTTGAGTTACACATGAAAACATACCTCCATACCTACATGAACTGCTTTATCCCCATACGAGCTACAACCCCTTATCCTATCACGAATCTATCCATCCCCATACAGCATAACATATTTGCGTCCCTACCACCACTTTATAAGGCATGGGGATACTAATCTATCCATCCCTATACAAAATAGTATGTTCCCGTCTCTACCGTCCCTTTTCCAAGCATAGAGTTATAAATCAGTCTATCTGTACACCCACGTGGCAGTCTATGTCTGTATGGACGCCTTCGTGTCCCTATGCCACTCGCTCTCACTTAAGGTATTTATTTATTGGTTCAAGTTTTCCACAGACGCAACATTCATCTGATGTTCAGGTCTTGTTTCACAAATTCACAGCGTGGCATGAAACACAGTTCAAAAGAAACATGTATAAAAGCTGTACAGGGATAAAGAATTCATGGCAGGGTATCTAATCCAGCACTACTGGCATTCGTATCATGCCGCCGCGTCAGCTAAACACCCGTCCATCCGTACTCCGACGCTCGTTGCATCAATGACGACGCTAAGCTATGTAAACTCTCTCAGCGCTGAATAAGAAAACAAAACAAAACAAAAGAAGAAACTTCACTACCAACCATACCAGCTGAAGACGCCTTCTCTGGATTGTAGCCATGTCATGCATACTAGACACGCTAAAAGAGGGCGTGAAGAGGTGGT